ACATTTTTATTATATATTGAAAGTATTAATGAGTTCTATTAAATGTCAAAATATTAATATTTAAAAAAAAATCATACTATTATCTGATACTTAAGAAACGTTTATCATTTGAAAAATTCACTCTTGACACTGTTCGGAGTCATTGTCATAGAGCCTATGGATATTTAATATGATTCGAAAAGCTTTGACATTTTGCGTATGGTTAATCAATATCACTGTTTGTTGCGATTTCAACTTAATTACATATACTACTATAATATATATATATATATATATATATATATATATATATATAATTTCAACATTCAAGAATATCTCAATAGTATAATTTCTCTCTTTACCCATCCTACTGTTCCCCCGCGCCTCACCAATTAAATAAAAACATCAAAATTTTAAGAATAGGATTGAGAGTTGGTATTGAAGGATATACTTAAAAACTTCATTAATAAGTTTAAGAAAGCTTGAAGAACAATAAATAAATTTTATGATATTGTGAAATTAATTTTAAATTGTGATTGAGGTTTGTTGAGTTTGTGTTTTTTGATTTTGTAGTTGAGAATCCAAGTCAAATGAGATTCTTTTTTAGCTATTTAAAAATCCATATGTGAGTAAATATGAAGAATGATTATTGAATTTTAAAAAGCAAATTGCAAATTTGTCCTATTTAATTTATTTATTTTTAAATCCTTACATATCACTAAAGAATAATGTAAAATTTCATAGGCCTTAATTATATTACACGCATACCAATCTGATCATAGAAAGATTAAAAAAAATTAAATTTTAAATAAAATGATACCATTAATAATTCGAATTAAGTATATACATCATATTTTGCCTTGACATATAATTGCATATTAAAAATTATAATTTATAAACTTAATTTCAATACCTATGTCTATTTCTTATCAGGTTCACTAATTATGTAAATTAAAAATACATATAAATGGTGGGATCAATTTCACGTGGCTCGACTAAAGAATCCAAAATAAGTAGAGTAATATAAACATCTAACGTAACACAGAGAGGTGACTTGTCGCGACGAATAAATGGGGTCCACTTGTGTGCCGGGTGTCCAACGCACCTGTTGTTTCAAGTAAAACCAACGGCAACAATCTTTTCTTTATTAGCTGTCCATATTGCCCTTACACAAAAACATATTATCAATATTTCAATTAAATTAATAATATTATATATAATTTTGTAATGTACTTTAAAATCTCATCATACATCTTATTATATACATGATTCTATCAAATCCTAACACGTAGAAAATAATTGTAATTACTCTAGGTACAGCTGGACAAGACATCTATTAAAAGAAAACATATAATTGGATTTATGCGTTAGATTAAAAGATATGAATAAATTAAGCAAATAATGAATTAAAATATCTTGAGTCAGCCTTATTCTAGTAATATATCGAGCTAGTTGAAGATAAATAAATAATATATCGAGCTAGTGTAACTGAAAGAATAAGTTAATCAAATTGTAATAAATAATGGAAGGGTTAGAAAAGAGTTGATTATGAGTAACTTAATCTCATAACTCTTGATAAATAACATAATTAATAACACTTCGGAATAAAGAGTAATGTTCGAGTTTACTCATGAAAGATTTTTATCAATAAAATAATGGATCTTCTATGCATGTATGCACCGTATATGTGATATATAATCTTACTTTCCATTATACATTAATCAATTTTAAAGAGTCCTATTGACACATTCGCTCATTATACTTTTCACGAGTGGATTTATGACTCGTGAGCTGATTTATGATCGTGAATGATATTTTTTTTATTATTATATATATTTTACTCATTTTGGTCATTTTAACTTTTAGAACCTATAAATAATTTTGTTATAGTTTTTTTATTTTTCTTATTTTGTTTTTAAGCTGCTTTGACTTGTTTTTTACAAATCAAAGATTTATCAGAAATAACTACTCTACTTTCAGATACTCTTTTTAGATTTTATTTGTAAAATTACATTAAATATATAATTATACCAAACACAACAAAATAAGCAAGGAGTCAACTTATTATAATTAAAAAAAAACATTTTCCTTCGTAATATCCTCTTTTCCTTGTTTGAGAAAGCTTTAAACGGGCCTTAAGCAATGGAATTAATTGATATCTTCTTCTTGCTTATGAAGTTATATGTTGTAATTATATTGGCTAATACGATCAATTAAACATTTTGGGTTTGTTTGGTACTTGGAAAAATGTTTTTGTTCGAAGATAAATGTTTTTTTTACTTAATTTTTAATAGTTTGTTGATACAGAATAAAATTGATAATGGTTAAAATAGTTAATATTGATAAAAATATAAATATTACGTCTTCTCCAAAACGTAAATATATATTACACATCAATAGTTTGATATCTCCTCTCGTTAAAACACTCATCAAATGCAATTTCGATTTGCTAAAAATTCAAGTTGATTACTTTAACTTCATTTGTAAAATGGGGAATAAATTCTTCCATTTTCTTTGCATAATTAATAGCGAGAACTACTTTATTAATGCCAAATTATTAGATTTTCTAATTTTGAAATTCATTTTCTAACTATTTTTGGTTGGGAGCATCACACAAGAGCAGGGTGTTAGGAATGAGAATAGATTCAATTAGAATGAAATATCATTTATGAATTTTTTTCTAGAAAAATCATTTTTATGATGCCGAAAATTTTATTTTTCAAAATTTAAATATTTTAACTAAGTAAACATATTTTAAAAATCCAAAAATATTTTCTTACCTATCAAGCACACCGTATACCTCCTTGTTGATTTAACATTTTGTTTGAATTATTGTTACCCATTGTTTCATAATGTATTGTATTGTATTGTACTATATTGTATGGTAGTTATAATTTTTTGCTAGACTGTATTATTTGTTGTTGTTTAATAATTAACATTTTAATTATTTGGCTTAATTGTATCAGATTGTATTATAATCTATAAATTTACTAAGATATTCTTAATTATTCTAAGGTAGGAAGTTTAACTAGATTTAAATAATTAAGGTAAAGGGTAAATAGTATTTTGAAATATTATGTAAATATATAATTGAAAAAGAAATTAATTAACAATGAGAACACACCAAATTAATTGTTTCATAAAATAAGGTTTTCATTATTATATAACAATGAAATTTAATAATAAAATATAATACATTTTAAATAATAATCAAAATAAATATTAAAGATATAATTACAATACAATATAATGGATAACAATGATCCAAGTAAAACTTTATTTAGTATAATGTAAATAGTACTGCCAACCCTTTAATGAAGTTAATGGACCACAAAGGTTGTGTTACTGGTAAGGATATTTTTAAAAATTAGAAATATAGGTTTGTTACTTGAGTTCCAAAAAATACACCGTCTTCGATTTTTTTTTTAAAAAAATCTAATATAAATTTGAATTAGTTTATATCGCACACCCTATAAGAAAATTCATAAAAGTCATGATTTATAATATATATTAATCACAAAAAATTATATAAAAATATTTATTTTATATTGATAATTTTAATTTATATTAAACAAACATTAGATAAAAACTTGAAAAAAAAAAGAAGATAGTAATATTCTAATATGATTAATATTTGTTTGGGAATAACATCATATTGTTAAATTGCAAGTTTCACTTTTTCCTTCATCGTGGAGAATCCTTTATTTCAAAAGGTCTGCGATACTTTTTAAAAAAATCGATTTTTCCCTTTTTCAAAAAGAATAAAATCATTAAAAGAGTTCTTTTTTTAGAAAAAAGAAAGTATTACATTGTGGGGTTATGAAGGGTAGTTTCGTCATTAGCATGTACAACGACATCTGTGAACAGAACCCATAGATCGCTTTCGTATTCCAAAAGCAGTAGGCCCCACATATTCCATTAGTCATAGTATGGGTCCCACCACACAAAAAAACAAATAAACATAAAAAATAAAAAAAGTAGGGCCCAAACTCCATTAAGTGGTCCCATCAATAATTACAATCTTGACAATTTCTCTTGATCCAATTGACACGTATACCTATCGCCGGAGAAGTAAACTAGCCGGAATCTTTTGATCGGCAAATGTGGGTCCTACAAAGGGATGGGTTCCAATCATTAGATATTGACGTTTCTTGGAAAATTGGTCATTGACAAGTGACAATTTTAAATATTGCTTTGGAATCTTTATTTTTTATTTCTTATTTATCTATGATTACGATGTTTAAATCAATTTTACTTATCTTAATTAATAATTAGAACAAATGAAATTAATCACTTATACTTTGTTTGAATGGCTATTTTCTATTAATATTCATATTATATTGTAATGTAAGTATTATTTAAGCAAATGCAATATTTGAATATCAATAGATTATATAGTTTTTATTATTTCATAATATTATACACCTCTAATTTGAAAGATAAATCTATAAAGGATACATGATAAAATTATTATTAAAAGGTGGAGAAAATAATAATATGTAAAAATATAATAAGAAAAAAAATAACGGTACGATCATATCAAATTAGTAGATATATAAAATGAATTTTTCCATAACTTAACAATAAATTTCGATGATACAACATAATAAAATCTAAATAACAATTAAAATAAATATAGTAATATTTAAATTACCAATACAATACAATCATCGAAATAGGATATTAATTTTTTTTAAAAAAAATTGGCCAAAAAATTTGATCTGTTATTTTATATTTTAAACATTATTATCTTTTTAACTTTGATACATTTTAATTAAAAATAAAAAGAATAAATTTATTTAAAATAAAAAAATCATAATTTTTTTAATTTTCTTGCTATAATTAAAAAAAATTTAAAACTATCATTAAATTAACCACTAGACCCATTTTTTAATGTTTTGGAATCCAATTTAATAATGGTATTGGTGAATAGAATAAAGTGACTCAATTATTTCACTTCATTTTTTTATTTTTTATTTTTGATAGAGCAATCATTTCTCTTTATAATAATACCAGCCTAAACCATGGGCTATCCAACAACTCCATCCATTTTATAAAGAGCTCACCAAAAACACTAACTTTTAGGCAAAAACATCTTCATTTCATTTCTCATAAATCCCAATTTGAACTAAATTTCTTCAATCATGATAGGCAATAGATCTAAGCCGGTGATCGGAAAACTCACCGGTGCAGCTTTTTCGGGTAGCCGGACGATGGATGGTGCTACCAGTCCAAGAAGTCCACTCGATTTCAAGTTTCCATCACCAAGAGGCTTAAAAAGCTTTGATTTCGGTGGTGTTGGATTAGCTATAGTAGCTGCACTAGAAAAGTCCGGCGGTAAAAACGGCGAAATCCCGGCGAACAAAGCCGTTTACAACCGGAATTCAAACAGATCCCTTCCAATTCCGGTGATTTCTCCGTCGAAAAATTCAGCTAGATTTAGACCAGAAATTGAGGAAACAGAGATGGATAGTTTTGAAGAATATACAATAGTTACTTGCCGTGCACCAGGTAATAAACCCTACACAAAAGTATACGGCGATAGAAGTAAACGGGAAAACAGAAAATGTAATCGTCCAAGCGTTTTTAACATATCTCCGGCGAACATTGGAATTTTTCCGGCAGAACAAAATTCTGATTTTCTCAGTTCATGTAATTTGTGTCAAAAAAAGTTACATGGCAAAGACATATACATGTATAGGTATGTATATAATGCCCCCACAACATTATTATTTTTTATCGCGATCAAATTTATTATTATTTTTTAAGTATATACGATAGATATTAACGTTTCGTTCATGAATTTCAGGGGCGAGAAAGCATTTTGTAGCACAGAGTGTCGATACAGGCAAATAATGATGGATGAGCAGAAAGAAAAGTGTAGTTCAACATCTGTTGATGTTGCTACTCCACCATATGGAAATGGACAAATCTTCTCCACTGGAATACTCGCTATTTAATCGATAAATTAATATTTAGTATATATAGAACGTCGTAAATATATCTATATATACTCGGAAATACTTATATACATTAAGAGAAAAAGTTCTGTAACTCTTTTTTTTTCTTTTTTGGTATTCTCCCCCAATTTTGATTTGGATGTAGAAATGGAAAAGCATAAATATAGCAATGAAAAGTTTTGAACTATCTCTAGTCTTCTCAAAGTAACTAAAAGTTTGACGTCAAATTTTAAGCATACAAAGAAAAAAATTCGATATGAATTCAGATTAATAACAAAGTATCTAAAAGTTTGACGTTAAATTAAGCATACAAAGAAAAAATAATTTCGATAACACTTAATAATAATTATTGAACATTTTGTGATTAATTTGATATAAGCTTGTGTTGAAAATTCTTTATTTTTCATTTTACTCTTTGGTGTATATGAACTAACCAAAACGAACGATGAAAAGTATTGGATGACAATCATGGTAATGCTTTTTTGTGAATAGTAATAACGTAAAATTAAATATAATGATTAAAATTCAAAAAATGACTTTGATTAAAACCAACTTTATGTAGAGTCATCAAAAGACCCCTTTCAATTAGTGAACTGATTCGGATGAACTCAACAAGAGACCCACTATAAAGAAAAAGTACTCACTATTAGAATTTTATTCATTTTCAGAAGAGCTCTAATTATGGTGGAAAATATATTTATTCTATTATAATTTTTAGAAAAAAGAATTAAAATATATTGGAATATTGATCGAAATTGTTATAACAATATCAAATTTTGAGCAGGATTTATTGTCCTTACACTATTTAATAGCGTATACTAAAAATATATATATCCAGGGTAAATTATTATTTATAATAATACCATATTTATGATGTCCACGAAAATACCTATATATCTTTAATATACTATGAAATAGTGTTGGGTAATAGGCCATGTGCAAACTTTAAGATTATTACAACAATTTCAATCAAAGTTCAAATATATTTCAAATCAGTTTTTCATCTGTTATGTTCTTTTCATATGTATCTATCGTTTTCAGCGTATCAAAAAAGTTAGATGTAAATTAAGCATAAAAAGAAAATGGAAGCATTTTTTTTAGTGAGAGCATTGGATAAAATCAAAATCACAAAAGAGAAAAAGCAAAAAGAATTTTTTGATTAAAATTATAGACTACCATTAAGACTTTTAAGAAAAATGTTCACAAATGTAAAAATCTTAAAGAATTGATGGTAAGTAACTTTTAATTGATTATTGGATAGTAGTATTTTCTTTGCTTCTTTTTTTTTAAAAAAAGGGAAGATATATATATATATATATATATATATATATATATAAAGAAAA